CCCCCCCCCCCCCCCTCAACCCCACGGCATTCGCAATTATTTGTTCTTATTTTTTTCTCCACCATTTTGATTTTTTACATAAAACTTTAATCATTAAACTCTCTATTTTTATAGTTCATAAAAAATTGATATATGAAAACAATATTTTAAATGGACACAATTTTTATAAATTTACACACTTTGTGGTTAAATATAGAGCAACTAGACCAAAAATATCAAATTTTTATTAAATGATATACTAATGAAAATTGATTTAACTAATGAAAAAATAAAATAAAAATGCCAAATAAATTAAGGTATGATAAATCATTAAAAAAATACAAATGAGCCCATATGCCATGTGTTATACTTCAAGAAAAACAAATAAATTTAATTTAATTTGTTGGAATGATATATAACAAATTAAATAATGTTACAGATAAAACATTTTGAAATAAAATAAATTATACAGTTAGCAAATATATAATTAATAAAATATAGTTATTTGGTAAAAATAACAATATAATTTAAATGGTTGATCGTTTAAAAATATATATAATGTTAGTTCTTTTTCAAGCTTCACACGAACTCTCATGTATGCTAATATTTGACATCTAAAAAATAAAATATTGTTTATTTTAAATCTTTAATATGATATATGAAGTTTATAAAAACTTAATAAAAATAAATATACACTTATGGCATCACTTTTGGTATCACACGTGGCATGGTGTGCACACGTGACCTGAAAAGTTATATACAAACTAAATGACACTGGAAAAAAATAATAAAGAAACAATTTTCAATTAAAAAATTAAAATAACAAATTTCAAATGAATCAATTAAGTAATACTACCTCCTCACATTCCATCTCTATGTAAATTCTTGTTGTTCTCCTTCTTCCTTCTCATCTCCAACCTGTTTATTTTAAATACTCGGGTATACAGTTTATTTTAAATACAATTTTTTATCTACTTTAATTTATCTACATTTTTTTTAAGGTGAGTTTTGAGTTGCACTTCTATTATATATATACACCCGAGTTTAAAAGGCATAACAAATGCTAAAATCCAATACTAGTGTAGCTGATTTTTCGACTTGCATTCTAAAAACTTTCCCAAGATTACAGTTTGAACTCTTAAAAAAATACTTTCTTCTAAAAAGCAGTTCCAAACTATAGCATTACTCTTTGAAAAACAAACCTATTACTCCCTCCATCATAATGTGTTTGTATAAGTACAGAATAAAAGAATGGCTAAAAAAATAATTGGGCCTATATTAGAAGGGGTATCACCAAGACATACTGTTTTTTGTTTCTGTTTTTTCCCATGCCATTGAGGGCATAGGATGAAGACGAGTAAGAAAGTTACTCTTTTTTGTTTCTGTTTATTCCCGTTTCTTTTTTTGAAGGGGTGGGGGGTGGGGGGTGTGTTCGGGTCGGGGCTGGGGTGGGGGGTTTACCGGGGGTTAAGGGGGTAGGAACCGTCAATTTCACGAACGGGGCACCGGAGCAGCCCCGGTCTTCGTATGACATTAAGGTTCAATGTCATTTGAACTTCTCATGAATTGATTAAGTAATAACACATAATGACAAAATACATATATGACATACAAGTATACAACACTATCATCTTTCAACTCTAACTTTTTTTGTTTAGTTGAAAAAAATATACAACATATACTAAAGTATACTTCGTAGTATGTAATAGGATAAAATGTTTAAAATAATTTTGTATTTAATAAATATTTATATGTGATAAAAATCTTATAATACTGCTTTGAAAATTTAGCAATACCAAATGTTCTTTTTGGTCAATAATAATGGCTATTTAGTGCAAGAAAGTGAAGAGTTTATAAAACTATAATAAAAATGAAGGTTATTTAATGTACAGAAGTGAAAGGTTTTCAAGAAACTTTAATAATTAATAAATATATACACGTGGCATGACATTCTCCGAGGTGTAATGCACATGTGACCTAAAAATTTTATACAAATGTAATGGTCATCAAATAAAATAATAACAAAAATTGTTTTAATTGATACAAATTAAAATAACAATGTCAAATAATCAATTAAGTAATGACACATCATTAGAGAATGCATATCTCTCAAGATCATGTGCCACATGTAACCCATCAATTAAGCTTTCACTTTGTTTAGTTTGCTAAAAAAAATATTTCATTAAACATTTCTCCCTTTTTTTAACCGTCCTAAAAAAACTCTTTTAAATACTTTTAAAATACATTTGTATTGCTACATGTAATTTGTGTTTCTAACGTTTTTATTTTTTTATAAGGATGAGATATTTTAATAAAAATATTATTTTTCTATATATTGATTATCTAAATATAATTACTTTTTAATGTATATATAAATTAAATATATATTCCAACGCATATATGAAGTAATCATTAAAATATTAAATTAATATTCTAATTTCACAAAAAAAATAAAAACTATTATTAAATTATAAAATGAATGATTATTCTAAGATACCCCGTGTGAATTAACAAATTTTATTTTATTAAAAAATAATCATAAAATAAAAAATATTGATTATATTATAATATGAAGTATTGTTATAATTTTCAAACGTTATTATTATAAAGTCAAATTGAATTATTGATTTGAATTTTAAATCAAATCATAATAAATCAGATCAGACCAGACTAGATCCAATTTCAAACGTTATTATAAAGTCAAGTTAAATCAAATTTTGTTCCTTTTTTATATTATATTTTTTCTTCGTAAAGAGAAGAAAAATATTTGTGCTTGAAATGATGACAAGTTAATAATTCAAAATTATATTTTGAAAAAGTTAAACAAAAATATTTGTATTTAAAAAAAAATTAGCATATACAATTGGATTGGGTTTGGAAGAATTTAGTATATTCCGATTTGGAATCCGGTTTAGATCTAGAATTTGGAAATGCTTGGATTTCTACCCGGATACAAATTCTCCGGACAACATAGTAGTCATCGAGAGGAGGGGGAGGAGAAACAGAGTTAGAGTGAATCCATAGATCCGCCTCAAATCGGACCACCGCGGCGGACGGGAGAGAATCCGACGCTCATCTTCGGAGATAAATCCTCTCCTACGAAACGGAACGATTTTGGAAGGTAATTTCTCAATTTCAAATCTCACTGTTGCTTCTCTCTCACACACACATCAATAACTGGGTTTGAAGTAGTTCTATTAAACCTGAAAAGCTGAAACCCCAAAAATAGCTTAAACCTGAAAAGCTCCAAAGTACGCATATTTGAAGGATGGGCTTATCCCACATATGACAAGCTTAAAAGTGCATGAATTGAAGTAAGAAAAAGCAAGCAAATTAAAGAACTTTGTTTTCTAGGGAGTACTAAGTTAAAGTGATGGCATATGACAAGCTTAAAAGTGCATTATTATTAACAACAACAACAACAACAACAACAACAACAACAGCAACAACAAAGCATTGATAATAAGAGTAGGGCATAGGTTGCCCAGTTGGCAAAGTATCAACCAACATAGATGATACACATATTGAATTGTTTTCTTTTCACAATTAGATGTATAGTTTGATTCAAGCGTTAAGAGGGCAGCTTTGGCACCCCCGTTTAATGTGGTGGTGCATGGGAATGCTTTGTTTATTTGTTTTATTTTTTGTCTGATTGCATCAAATTGGTTCATCGTTGGGTAGAAACACTCCCCTAAGCATCTTTTTTTCCAGTGTTTTGTTGAATAATCAATCAATCACCAGATAGCAGTTATGGGGACAACCACAAAAAGGCATAAACTTGTTGCGGAACAATTGGAGAGGCCATGTGAAGATAGGATCAGCAATTTGCCGAGCAGTCTAATTGGTTATATACTCTCTTTTCTTCCCACAAAAGATGCAGTGGCCACAAGTGTTTTATCATCTAGATGGAAGGATTTCTGGCCATTGGTCACCCGCTTGTCCATTGATGATTACTTATTGCGAAGTCCGGAAAGCAAGAATAGTTTTGAGCGGCTCAGATTTGAATTTGTGGATTTCGTGCATCGAGTTCTCTTAACCGGAAGTGTTTCAGGCATAGAGACATTCCGTTTCCAATGCAGCCAACGCTATGATGCTTCATCTGTTCGCGCATGGCTATCTTCCGCACTGAAGGGTAATAATGTCCGAGAAGTTGATGTCATTGTCGATGCATGGGACTTTTCTGTACTACCAAGTAGCTTGTTTACTTGTAGAACACTGGTAAAGCTAAACTTGGGCAAAGTTTTCATGAATGTCCCTGATTCGGTATGGTTACCTTGTCTGAAGCATGTTGAACTGCATGGTGTCGAGTTTCCAAATGATGACTCAATATCTAGGCTTCTCAGTGGATGCCCCGTGCTTGGCAGTTTGTGCTTGAAGAGATGCATGGGAAGAAATGTGAGAGTCATTAACATTTCTGTTCCTACGCTCACTCACTTGATTCTTGAATTTTTGCATCACTACAGTCTCTATATCATATCTAAACATCTTCCGAAATTCCACATTGTGCTCAATACTCCATCTCTTTTGCACATTTCCATCGAAGATTCCATACATGAAAGTTATGTGTTTGAAAAGCCACATCAACTCGCGGGGGCATGTTTTATTCTCTATAGTCCACTTGGCCCGAATTTGTTGCCAGTATTCCCATTTGAAGGCCCGAAATTGTCGTCAGCATCCCCATTTGAAGATGTTCATCATATTGCCATACATGATCTTCTTAAAGGGAGTTCTAAGGTTAAATCGCTACATTTTGTCACCAAGGTAATCCTCAAGTAGTTGAATGAATCACTTTGTCTTGTTTAATTGCCAAATGAGATATGTGGTTGTTTGAAGAACATTTTCTTGCTTTTTTTTTTAGGGTTTCAACCGATGCGAGTTGATGCCCAAATATGAGAATTTGACGGAGTTGGTATTTGGTACTCATTGGAATGTCACACTTGATCTGCTCCATACGTTTCTAGAGAGGTCGCCAAAATTGAGCCGTTTAGCATTAACATTTAATCACAAAGATGATGTATGATGATGATCTCTTTTCTTTCCCCTTTGATTTCTTAATGCATTCGATCAATCATGGGCAATCCTAGGGGTTCACCAACCAAATGGCACGTACATTGAGTGTCCGTTTTTGCCGTAGTGTTAAAATGGATTAAGCCAAATATGGTGTCCCCACAGCATTATTCATCAATTATTTACTTGTTTGGTTTCTCTGTTTCCCAGGAAACATTAAACTTTTCCAAAACTGGTGATGATGATGGCGGCGGCGGCTCATTGGAATGGGATCATCCATCTCGGCGTGTTCCCGACTGCTTATTGTTTCATCTTAAAATTGTTGAAATTTGGAATTTCCGAGGGTTAAAAAAGGAAATAGAATTAGTCAAGTACTTGCTGAGAAATGGGAGAGCGTTGGAGAAAGTGACCGTAGAGCGAGCTCCAATACGAGGAGAAACATCCAAAGATGTTTGGGCTTGGCAGCGGAAAGGGCCTGGGCTGGGAGTAGTCAGGGAATAGGTACCCCCCCGATCATTGTGCCTTTGGGCTTTCGTGGGTGGGCTATCACCTTGGGGTTAACAGGCTCCGAGTGGTCACGAGGTTAACGGACCCTCGGCCCATGGCCTGTAACCTTTCCTTCCAAAAAAAAAAAAAAAANAGTCAAGTACTTGCTGAGAAATGGGAGAGCGTTGGAGAAAGTGACCGTAGAGCGAGCTCCAATACGAGGAGAAACATCCAAAGATGTTTGGGCTTGGCAGCGGAAAGGGCCTGGGCTGGGAGTAGTCAGGGAATAGGTACCCCCCCGATCATTGTGCCTTTGGGCTTTCGTGGGTGGGCTATCACCTTGGGGTTAACAGGCTCCGAGTGGTCACGAGGTTAACGGACCCTCGGCCCATGGCCTGTAACCTTTCCTTCCAAAAAAAAAAAAAAAAAGAGCAAGGTCTGAAGATTTGCTACTTGCTTGAGAGATTCCGACGACATCATCAAAGGTCTGTCGAGTTGAATTTATACTTTTTGTTTTTCATATTGTAATTGTACCAATTGTCACCGAAGGCCTTATTTATACTTTATTTATTGATTATCTTTGGATTTGATAAAAAATCAAATAAAATTTATACTTCTCCCGTCTCAATTATTTAAGTAGTCTAAACTCTTACCCATTTTCATTTTTGTTACTCATTTGAAAAAAAAAATACAGTCATGTTACTTCTATTTTATAGAGACTTCTTATTTTCATCAATTATTTACTTGTTTCCACAAGGTGTACCCCTAGCATATCCTTTGATAATAATTTTACTATTTTGTTTTTTGGAAAATTTTCAGTACATGAAAGACAAACGTGTGAAGTAATGATGCTTTAGTGGTGTTATTATTATTATTATTATTATTATTATTATTATTATTATTATTATTATTATTATTATTATTATTATTATTATTATTAAAAATACAGTTTTAATTCTGGAACATCCAACTTCTTTTTGTTTACAGTTAATTTTTATAGAGTATTATTTATTGCAGTTGAGAAAATTCGAAATAACATATCCGATTTTTAACTACACCCGACCTGGCCAAAACCATTAATTTAAAAACCCGGCCCATATCTTGTCTTTGGCCCAGGAGTTTTAGGCGAGATAAAATTTCCTTGGGCAAGAGAGAGAGAGTCTAATTTTGTGCAATCCATTTACAGTAGAATATTTATACTGCGCACTCTAATTCAAAAGGCATACGGGGAAAATTAGAAAGAGTGAACTTATGGATATACATATTGGTCATTGGATGTTTCCCTTGTCTTTTCACCAACAAAAAAAAAGAAATTGACAGAACCAAAAATAAAAGTCATTTATTTTACGGAGATTAAACTCATATTTAACCTTATAATAAACTTATTTGTTATCACAATAGAAATATCATTTGACTGTCTGGTCGCAATAATGCAACTAGTTTCACCATTCTCTACATCATATTCAGACTAGAATAAAAGATAAGTTCTATCGATCCGTAGTCAGACCTGCTATGTTATATGGGGCAGAGTGTTGGGCGGTTAAGAAGACTCATGTGCGTCGTATGCATGCGGCGGAGATGCGGATGTTACGATGGATGTGTGGGAAGACAAGATTGGATAGAATTTTGAATGAAGTAATCCGACGTCAGGTAGAATGGCACCGGTGGAAGATAAGTTGCGGGAAGCGAGGTTGAGATGGTTTGGCCATGTGAGACGGCGGGATGTTGACGCCCCTGTACGGGGATGCGAGAGGATTACAGTTATCGGGGGAAGTAGGGGAAAGGGTAGGCCTAGGAAGAACTGGAAGGAGGTGATTAGATAGGATTTAGGCCCTAGATAGAAACCTTTGGAAAACTAGGATTAGAGTAGCTGGATAGGAGCTCGGTGTTGTAGAGGTAGTTTTGTAGTGTGCTGTATTTGTTTGGAATCTTCTGCTATTGTTTGTACTTGTTACTTGTACTTGTTGCTTGTACTTGGTGTTTTATCTGTGTTATACTGTGTTCCCTTCCATATTTTTGTGCAGGTGGAGCCGGGGGTCTCTTGGAAACAGCCTCCCTACTTTCGAGTAGGGGCAAGGTCTGCGTACACACACCCTCTCCAGACCCTACTGTTGTGGGATTCACCTGGGTTGTTGTTGTTCATTATCACTTAAACACAAATCAAATTCTATTTTTTCATCATCTTTAAAGCAATCAACATTCTCACTTCGTTGTCATTCTTGTTTAAGTCCTCATCAGGCCTGCCCAATCATTCAAAATGGCCCTGTGCAATTAAATAGTTTAGGGCTCAATTTTTTTGTTAAAACAAAATTTGTGATAAACCAAAGCACTAATACTAACGTATTGGTTATTTCATTTAATAAAACAGACTTTAAAATTTTTCAATAGAAGGTAAAGTACATATACAAACATATTAAAATACAATGAAAAAAAGGTTACTAGGTTTAAACCATTGGTATATACTACTTGACAGACACACATAAAAAGTAAATGTCTAAGTGATGGATCTTATATTCAAAAATGAAATAAAAAGTTTAACTTTATGGAACAAAGTGAAGATGATTAAAACAAAACATTAAGAATATACTCCCTCCGTCTCGTGAAACATGGGACATTTACTTTTTAGGAGGGATTTAAGGGAGTGTATTTTGGTATTGAATTTCCAAAAATGTCCTTTGATGTGATGGGTAAAAGTATGATTTGATGGATAGATTATTAGTAAAAAGGTATGATGTGATAGTTTGGATATGAAAAAGTAAGGGGTAAAAGTGACTTTTTAATAGAAATGAGAAGTGTTTTGTGGGACGGATAAAAAAGAAAGGGGAAATGTTTCACGGGACGGAGGGAGTATGTGTTTATTTTACATGAAAACAAAAACTGGTTAAAGATGTACCCTACGAATGATGAAATAAAAATTAATCTATTTGACACATTATTAAAGACCTGCAAACGAGTGAAATTTTGGAATTGAAGAAAAATTGGAAAATTGAATACAAAGATGAACAAAATCAATCACGAATTGGATAAAATTTGGAAAATTTAGGAAAAATATAAAATAGAAACTGGAAAAAAATCAAAACATATTCTATTAGTTAGACTACGGAGTATAAAAATTAGAAAAAATTGAAACAAATAAATCTAACCCTAAAAATATCTATAGAAAAAATAAAGAATGAAATCATAAATTTGCCAAAATTATGAAGCAAGAGAAACCTTGAAGTCCTTGTGATGGTTTTGACGAGTTCACAACTGTCACAACAAGGAATGGAGTAAAATAAAATAGAAGAGAGGAAGCCGTAAGAAAGGTGATAATTATAAAGAGGAAGGAGTATCCGAAGAGTCATGCCAGTTGAAATATTGAGAAGGAGAAGAAGAATCCAGAATAAAGAAGCCATTGACTAGGCTAAAATAACAAATTAAATCTATTTATGGGTTTGTTGTATTTAAAAAAATAGGCCCTCCAAACTAAGGGGCCCTGTTCAAATGAACCTCATGCACACCCCATTGGGCGGGCCTGGTCCTCATCCTTTTCATCAAGAGAGATGAAGTGTCGCTGTATCGGAGCGGAAGTAGTTTGTGAAAGGATGGCTGCATTGAGGGTGGAGATTCATATAAATTATTCCCTCTGTCCACCATATCTGTTTCCAGACACTATTCACAGGGTCAGACTTTATTCACTTTATTTGCTCAAATTTACTAGTGTTTTCATCATAAAATAATATAGTCTTGTCACCTCTACTTTTATAGAACTTTTCATGTAATTTATTACTATATAAATTTTATTTTAAAATTTTACTCCTATAATTAATTAAATTGAATTGAAAATAAAATTGGTCAAGCCTCGTAACGCGTAATGGGGAGATGATACATGGATGGAGGGAGTACTTCCTACCTTGAATAAAGTGATTGCGAGACCGAGAATGCATATTGTGTGATAGAAATCTTCACGATCCACCCGGTTTGAAGTTGTCTAATCTTGACTTTTGATAGTCAATCCTATAATTAGATAAAAATTATATTTAGAAAATATATTATGAATTAGATGATAATAATATTTTGAAAATATTTTACAAGAGCAATCTACTAAAATTGTTTTTGTAAATATATTTATATTCAATTCATCCAAATTTGAATTACTCATTTGAATTTATGATTTATGATTAAGTATATTCTCAATTTATTTTATATAAAATTCCGTGGAATTTATAAGCAAATACTCCCTCCGTTCCTTAAAGCAGTTCCTGTTTTAAGTTGGGAGAGATTTAATTTCATAGTTTGACTTTTTAATTATACTCTTATTATCGAATAAAAAAGAGAGAGACAAATTATTTAAATGACATATTATATCTATGCAAATTAAATGGAGTATATTGTAAAAGCTTAATTTAGATATATTACCATTTTTACAACAGTGGAAATGTTTTTGGGAAAACGAAAAAAAAATGAAAGAAGAACTATTTTAAGGAATAGAGAGAGTAGTAAAGAAATAACTTAAATTAAGACGGGAGAAATATGAATTTTATTCAAATTAAGATTAAATCCTGAGAAAATTCATAAAACGTTGATGTCCCTTATAGAAAAAAATAAATTCAAGTTGATAGACCTTTGATGTCCTTGGACGTTCGCAAGGGAGTCACAAATCTTCGAACGTTAAAAGTCATGGGCCGAGGGCCCGTTAAGTTCGTTAACCTCGTGAGCCCGTTAACCCTAAGGTGATAACCCACTCACGATAGCCCACCTACTCTACACATTTGGAAGTTGAGAGACGAAATATCAAATGTGTGAAAGTTAATATATTTGCTTGGATAAAAGGAGGATGCACTCGTGTACGTTCTGAGAAATATTTATATATAAAATTTGAGAGTTGAGCTTCTAGAATTGTGACATGTAGTGCGTTTATTAGACAATTTTTTTAAAATGTCAGAATGTCATGTCATCAAGTTATATTTAAAGAATTAGTTAACAAAAAAACTTATTCAATGGAAATTAAATTTCGTATTTGTTACACACAAATTTCTCAGCATAATCGCGTTTAAAAACTTTTATATCTTAATTCATTGTTGAAAAATATTTAAATTAAATAATATGTTTTGAAATTGAAATAAGAACTCATATTCAAAAACAATAATCAAAATAAATAAATTTATTCTAAAAACCGATATATTGGTAAGACTAAAAAAAATTACATATGAATATTTTTTTACTTTGAATTAATACTAATTAGAGAGATATTCCAACTTTGAAAAAAGAGAAACAAATATATAAAAGAAAAAAGATTTTTATGGGCATGCTTATTTCATAGAGCAATAATTGTATATCATATATATTAAAAAAAATTCTAAGTCAAATAAAAAGTATGTTCCATTTTAAAATTAGTATTTTCCATTTTTAAATTATTATTTTATATTACTAACTTTGTAAAAATTTATGAATATGTTCCAAAAAATTACTATTTTTCATTAATAAATTTTAATATGATGATGACTTAGTATGTGAGTATTTATGTGTAAGAAATTAATTATTAACTGGTGTTCCTAATCAAAATATTTATAGTATAATATTAACTATTATAAGTGTAATTAGTATTAATTTCTTGAAAATAAAAAAACATGCCTATTTTGACTTTTATGTCAAAATAAAATAAATAAGTAATATCCGGGGTTGTCTCTGAGAAATGAGGGGCCTTGTACGACAGGTAGAAAATGGCTTATTGTGTTATAATAAAATAAAGTCTATTCATTAATTTATTTAACAATAATTAACATTATATTAATAAAAATAATATCTAGACCCTATTATAGTAAAATTCAACTGGGTTGTTGTTGTATATTAATAAGAATAATGAAATATCGAATTCATATTCTTCAAAATCAAAGGAAACTTCATTGTTTTGATTTTGGTCCGTAGGAGGCGATTGAGAAGTTTGGAAATTTTTTTTTACCGTAGATCTATTTTTTTTACAGAGTAAATTTTAATCCTCCTTCCTAGGCAGTGTTCAGTGGGATTAGGTTCTATTTTTGTAGGTAGTAAACAAACATGTACATATGTATTGCTTTTGCAGTACATATGATGGTTATTACACATACAGAAAGAGAGAGGTCGTTATCGACTATAACCTTGCATCATCGAACACGTTCGAGGAAGAATGTACTCTATGATGTGACAAATGGTATTTTTATTATTCTGAATTGAACATTTAATTTTTCCAGTAATATTTTCCCAAAAAATCTATACAGTGCTCCGATCCAGGAATAATTACACAATTCATCATGCTTTTAAGTGCATAAGAAACATATGGATCTATCTTCTATAACACATGTTTTAATTTCTTTGAAGATGATAATAAAACAATTATCTTTGTGTATTAACTAACTCTATGTATAAAATATTATAAACAATGTAAGAAAGTATTACGTAAATTAATATGGTGGATGCACTCGAGGTTGAATTTTCATCTCCCATGGCTAAAATTTGTAAACTTTAGAGATAAAAAAAAGCTAAAAGATATTGTCAAAGAAAATGTTGACAAAGCTTCAATGTTTGAAGCTTGGATGATTTCCAATACACAATATAATGTGGGATAAAAATTGATGTATGCAAAGAATTTCCCAATTTTTGTGTGTACAATCATAAATTAAAGTCAGAAATAGTTCCGATGTAACAAAGGTCATCAATAGGCAGACTACAATATGTGCTTACGAGAACCAGAGACTTGTACTATTAACTGTCCAGTGAGGATGTACAAGCTATTAGAGCTTGATGAGAGTTAACAATGTTCTACATAGCGTATTTGAAGTAGCATGTGAAGCATTGGATTTATTAACCGATGATAAAGAACTTATTGAAGGTATAAAAGAGATTGCTAAGTTAGGATTTAGGAATATGCTAAAATGTTGTTTGTCCACGTACCATGAGTCACCCATAAATTGTTTTGAAAAAATTATAGGAACTCTTGGTGAATGAAATTTTATTTGATCGAATAAGAATATTTTGGAATCAAGGTACTTCAATATAAAGATAGTTTTTTAATGTATTAATCCATCTGAAACGCATTATATGAAAACAAAACTCTTTAATTGAGCACTGCGTAGAAACAAATAATTCTTTTTATGCAGAGTTTATAATCTCATGAGAAGATCTAAAGAATTTATGTCTAATTGAGATTGAAAAGTTGCTTAATTGAAATGGACGACCTTTAAAGGAATTCAAGTGCATGCCATTTGGAGATGACAATCAACTTAATAGATATCAAAATAGTTTTTTGTTAGAGAAGTTGAACTATGACTAAGAAAAGTTGTCATTTAATCTTAGAGTATATTTATCTACGATGAATGAAGATCAGTAGGATATATCTAATGAAATAATGGAAGTCGTGATAGCTGAAAGAGAGAGTTCTTTTTTGTCCATGGTTATTACAGTGGAACTGGAAAAATATTTCTCTAGAAGTCATTGTCTCCTTCTCTAAGGTCAAATGGTAAGGTTGTAGCATTGCTTTTGCCTAGGGGAGGAGAGTCGAGATTTTTAATCCCTTTGGTGCTAACCGAGTGCTCATTTTGTGACAATAAACAATGGAGTTCGAAAGCAGACCTAATCCAACAAGTAAGTATAATCATATGAGATTTATCATCTACGATGCATATATTTTCTTTTGAGGCATTGGATTATACAATGAGAGATGTAATGAGGTTTTCTAATAATAAATTCATAAATGAACCATTCACAGGGAAAACATTTGTACTCAAAGAAGATTTATCTAAATTCTTTCAGTTTTACTCATAGCTTTGAGAGAGGATATTGTAGGTGCTACCATCAAATCCTCAGAAATGTAGTTGTATTGTAAATTTTATACGTTGATAAAAAATATGAGATTGCATTAATCTACACTCTCTTACACAGACTAGGACACATAAGCTTTTTCTGATTGGATATCAAAGTCAAAGATGGAAAACTTAGAGAAGTGATCGATGGAACTGCTGACATTGAAATTAAATCCTTTTGCATTCTTGATTCTTGAAATAAGTTATCCACTCAAGAGTTATAGTGGACTTCACTTATCCGAACCTATTAGAAAACATGATTTTTTTTAGGATAGTGCACTATTAGCACTTGCACTCAAGTTTGTTGAATGGTAATGAATTTTTCATATCCATTATGTAAAGCTGATTTAAAAGTAGCTGTTGAAGACAATTGGATATCACTTTAGTTTTTTTAATTAAATCAATATTCGGGGATCCTAAACCACAAAATAGTTTTTAAAAAGGGGGTACTGACTATATCATTGAAGAACATTGACTAAATATCTGGATTGTGTAATGATAGAAGATTAATCGTTTAGAAGTTGAGAAAGAACGTTATCACTACAATTGAGGTTTCATTGAATTCAATTGAGAAAAAGATTTTCATACCCCGAATGAATTTGGTATCATCTGATTCAAGACTACCTAAGAAATTCTAGAGAAAATAATTCTCAATAGTTTTATATTTTACTATGACTATTAACAAAAGTTAAGGTCAAACATTGTCTTTTGTTGTATTATTTTTAACCAATTTAGTATTTAGTCATGGTTAGCTATATGTTACTTTTTCACGAATGAAGGCAAAGACATGATTAAAAATATTGGTTCTAGATAACAATGCAAACCTTTACAACCATATCAAAAACGTTGTGCACCCTAAAGTCTTTCAAAAAATTGGAATTAAATAAGGTTTTTTGAGTACACTTTCCTTTCTTCAAATACGATTTATTCTAATGTTGTCATTGGGCATTGATTAAAAATTATGTTAGAAATATATTTACTTGATTCCGGAGAATATATTACAATAAAAATACTAGTTGAAATAAACAATTAAGTTATATTCAATCTATATTTTACTCAACATTTTAGCTTCCATTAAGATATTTATATATTTTAATTATTTTTATTTTCATATTTTGAAAGAAACTTTTGTCCTTGCAAAACACCGACATGAATCTAGTACTCCCTCCGTCCCCAATTTGATTACAAATTGCGGGTTACGGAGTAAAATTTCCTACTTTTTGAAATCATTTTATTTACAAATTGGTATATCAATAAGATATAAAAATTACATATTAAAAAACTACGTGAAAAGTTCTACAAAATAAGAGGTGACAAGAATATTTTATTTTATCAAATACTTAGTCAAATCGCGTAAACAAACAAAAGTTATCGAGAGGAGAGAGAAAAAAAAATTGTAATCCATTTAGGGACGGAGGGAGTAATACCTTCATATACATGAAAAAATTGATAAAATTTGATCACCAATTAAATAAAATTGATATTAGATATTAATACAATAATATATTTATTAAATTTATTTTATACAATATTTTTAAAATACTCCCGCCTTCCCTGAGTGCTTGTCCACTTTCATTTTTGCACACCATCCAATGTACTTATTTAATCCATTTTATCTTGTAATTTGTATATTAAAAAATTAGAAACATTATATATTAATAATCTACTAACTCCGTCCCATTGTCTTTGTCCACTTTTAACTTTTGAAACTGTTCATCAAAGCACTTTGACTCATCAAATTCTCTTAATGTGTAAGCCTAAAAATAGTCATGTGTGATCTTGTTTGATTCGTCCTAACATATAGATTATTAATATATAATTTGTATAATTTTTTAATATACAAATTATAAGATGAAATAGATTAAAGAAGTGTATTAGATGGTGTGCCAAAAGGTAAGTGGATAAAGACAGTGGGATGAAGGGAGTATAAATGAACAGTTCCAAAAGTCAAAAGTGGACAAACACTCAGGGACAGACCAAGTATTATTTTATCTAATTAATACGAGGTATATCATATAACTTCAATTTAATTCGAGATCAAATGCAAAAAGTGGTTAATTGCTAAAAGTTTTAGAACTAGACAAATATTGAAAGATGAAAATGAGATTCCTTGTTAACACTGTGTTTGGTGTTTGTTTCAAAGAATATGAAAAGAAAAAATAAATTGGATGAGAAATGATTTTTCATGTTTGATTAGAGAAGAAAAGAAAAAAATGAAAAGAAACAATATATTAAAAAGAATGAAAACCCCAATTCTCTCTATTTTGGTGATAAAAATGAAATAAGCCTATTTTTTTCTTTTCCATCTGAGTCTCTTGAACTAAATATGGTGTAAAGAGGAATTTTGGAGTGCCTTACAATTTATGAAAAAGGAATTTCGTCGTACTCCGTATTTAGTTACGAACCATACCCTTCATGTAGGGATGAGAAATGTTTGTTGTTTAAAACTAAATGAAATATATATAATAAAATACTATAAAACTCCAAATACTAGCTGCAATTAAATAACTAAAATACATCGGCAAAGATACAACAACCGCGGCGGCCGGAAGTTTTAAATTTACCACCTACGAAGATCGGCCGACCGTCGACGTACGGACGCCTTATTTCATACTACCATTTCCCTGCTGGGTTGAAATTGCAAGATCCGGAAACCCGAAACAGTCCCCGCTAATCTCTCCGTTCCCAACCAGCTGCTGCCACGTCGTCCCTCCGCCCATCACCGCTGCACCGCCTTCGGTAACTCCGGGAAAAGGCCACACCGCTCTCCCCACACCGCCATACCCGAACTCGTCCATTCCCGGCCCGACTCCGAACCCGCTCAGCGCCAGAAGCCCAACTGCGGGGCCCTGCGTGTTCAGCAACGAAGTGAAGCTCCCGGCGCCGGCGCCGCACAAGTTCAGCATCTGAGGCGCGTGTTCCGCAGTTCCCGACATGGGGAAGAGGAAAGCCGAAGCGGGGGAAGACGGGATGTGGCGGAAGTCGTGGGCGGCGGAGGAGGAGAAGCCGTCGGGGGCGGCGCCGGAGCCCGACCTCGGAATGGTGCGGGAGCGTTTAGCGTGCTTGCGGCTGCCTCCGCCGACGGGGATGTCCCGGAGGGTGCCGCCGTGGGTCCAGTAGCGGCGGCAAGCCTTGCAGAAGTGGCGAGGCTGGGAGAAGTTGTAGTTGTTGTAGTAGCAGAACTTGGTGTTGGTGGAGTCGCAGCGCGGGCAGCGAAGGTGTTCCGGATCCGGCGGCGGCGCAGCCGCGAGCTGGTGCAGCTTAGAAGGTCGGCGTTGGTCGATGGAATCCAACGGCATCTTTTTTTCCTCCGGCAGCCAAGAAGTTTGGGAGTACATGCGAAAAAAGAAGTCAAGAAAGTGTGTTGTTTGTGGGGTTTATGGGAAGCAGACACGCAGCGGAGGTGGGATTTATATGGATACCAAAAGTACAGAAATTTAGAGAGAGAGAGAGAGAGAGAGAGAGAGAGTTTGCATATAGTGTTTGGTGAAACAGTTTTGGGAGTTGTGAAGAGAGGGATTATATTGTGTGGGTTGAGGGAATACTCCCTCCGTCCCAAATTATTTGTCACATTTCTATTACCGAGGCAAAATATCAAGTTTTTTCAATTCATTTTATTTACATATTGGTAAAGAAATAAAAAATAAAAATTACATTTAAAAAAACTACATGAAAAGCTCTTTGAAATAAGAGGTGTCAAGAATATTTTATTTTATCAAATAAGCAATGAAAACGTAGAAATAAATAAAAGTTCCCGCGACGGTTGAAAAAACAAATGTGGCAAATATTTTGGGACGGAGAGAGTATAATTTAAGATCAGAAGACCAGATTTTGCTTTTTGCAGGATTTTGCGACTTGGGAAGAATTGAAAAAACAATAATTGGTATACTTCCATCTCAAAATATACTTCAAAAATTAATATTTGTATTTTGATTATTTACATTGACACAAAGTTTTAATATGATTGCAAAATTTTATATGTACAATGTAAGTCATCAATCTCGCATTTAAGTTCATACAAAATATAAGTGAGAATCATCGAGATACATTTTAATCTCAACCACTCTTTCCGTTTCTATTTTAATTACAAATTTTGAAAAACAAAGAAAAGTCTCGATTTTTTCAAATTCATTTTATTTTAAGATTGAGACAAAAAAAATTAAATATTTGAAAACTACATCCAAAACTCTACAAAATAATATGTGATATGAATATTTTATTTTATCAAATAATTTATTAAAATACATAAATAAATAAAAGTTATCGTAATTTTATAACAGTAAACATTATCAATTATGGGATGAAGAAAGTATTACTTTTAAGGTATAAGTAGAGTTATTCTTAGAAAAATGTAGGAACATCATTTTCGATTAGTATAAGCGTTTTGGATAAAATTTTAATGATGTAGATCAATTCTGAAAATGCTAACGACAGAGTTTATTGTCGGATAACATTTTCAAAATGCTAACGCTAATCTCTAATGTTGATTCCAAACGGATCCGATGAATATTGGCATTCCATTAGGGCATGTCTTATTGGACCCGACCAGAGCCCATCAACCCGTGCCCCCAACCAAAAACACACCCAACATTATATTGTCGTGGCGCAACCTATCGTGCGTGATGGCTAGTGATGGTGTAAATTACCACGCAAATATTAAGTAAAAGTAGTCGGAAGGGCTGTAGGTGGAAACACCCGTAACCCGGTTTGTTATTAATAATGCTAGGATTATTACAAAATACAAGCCGTGTAGTGTTAATCAAAAACATACCTCACAAATGAGGATTTTAGGGGTATTTATAACATATTTAAGCACGTCAAGCACGTCTCTGATTATCCAACCGGTCATTTGTCTGACCGGTCGCATAAGAGCACTTGGCGAACGTTTCTATTGCTGAAGCATCGAGCCCAACAAGGCTACCGGCCTGACAACCCGGTCTGGGAAGGATGCGCTCCGCTTCTTCGTTAACCACCCAGTCGACGAACCAACCGGGTGGTATCCATGGGTTATTACCCATCAAGGAGTCCTCGATTCCCGGTCCTGTGGGGACCATCAGGGGCGGGAAGCATATGCGATCATCTCCTGAAATTTGAACTGCCCAGTCACCTTTTGGTGGGAAAATCACCTCGGCGAACCCGCGCCCAACCAAAATATTTAAAATTTGAAATTTGAATTTTGAAATTTCAAAAACCGGGCGTCCAAGGCGGGAGAATCTTCTCGAAATCGGGTACAGAACCGCCGATTTAAGGTGCCGTTTCGTCTCCCCGAGAAGTTATGATGACGAATCATTCCAGCTGCCACGTGTCGTTCCCTCATTCGCCCGTCCGGGCGGCATCTCCCCTATATAAAGCGTCGTTCTCCTTGGAATTTCTTCACTTGCAAATCTTCGATTCAAAAAACTGCCCGGCTTCTTCTGCTATTTCCGAGTCCTCCGTGTCTTCTAATCGTTTCCAAGTAAGTCTTTCCTTCCCTCTCAGAGTCATGTCAGATCGTGAAGATAGCCAGAACCCTTCCGTCCATTCGTACGGTTCTGGTGGACGGTCTCCAACTTTCGGTTCCTCTTCTTCTTCTTCTTCATCCTCTGATTCCGAGCGCCCGGCTACTTCTCCACAGAAGAAGCCGGTCGATGCTTCCACTTGCACTCCTTCTTCTTCCGCGGCGCAAGTGGTCTCGGTTGCCCAAGCCGGGGACGAGGGCTTCATCCAGCTAGATGACCGATTGCTCCAAGAGCAGCCGTCGTTTATGCAGAAGCCCCAAGTCCACGAGCTGCGCAATCTGATGCCTGATGGGTATCAATTGACATACCGGGCAACATGGAAGAGCATTATACCTCTCCATACCGGTACGTCGATTGGTATCCATTACCATTCGATCAAGGACTTGGGGGAATTCTCAATTCACCCATTCAAAGTCCTTTTCCTTGAGATGTACGGGATCATGCCCGGGCAATTGGCCCCAAACGGTCACCGTTTGCTGGCCAGTTTCATCAATGTTTGCCGGTTTCTCCGTATTCCTCTCTCTCTTCGTCTTTTTGATCACATGTTCGATGTCCAGCCCGGGTCCAAGGAAACCCTTGGATTCGTGGTGGTGTCCTCCCACCAAGGCCGGGCATTCCTCTGTGGCCTTCCACCTTCTAACAAGAAGTGGAAGGACAAATACGTGTCCATCAAGTTCCCCCCGGCTTCTTTTCCTTTCGCCCAAAATGTCTGGGGGAAGAGGATGAGGCATCAGGTCAAACCTGCGGAGGCTGATGACCTGGCTACTTGGGAAGCCACTCTCCGGGCCGGGGACGCCTCCACCCGCGGTCAGTACCACGTTGGGAAGTGGGGTGTCTACCCCGGCCGGGAGACCGACCCCGAGCCAGAGATTGTCCTACCCGGGATGATCCCCGAAGCCATCCCCATCAACCGGGCTAAGGGACCCAAAGCCAAGGCCACAGCCGCCGCCGGTCCTTCACGCCCAGCGAAGAAGAAGAAGGAGAAAGGTCAATCAACCGCCCTTCTCATATTTTTCACTTAAATCATTCTGTCCATTATCCTCATTCCTCTAACCGGTTTCTTTTCTTGCAGTGGTGAAGTTCCAGTCCAGGTTCGCTGTCCCCGAGATTGTGGTCGAGGAGCCCTCCTCTGCTCAGCCACTCTCCACTCCACCGAGCCAACCATTCCTGCTGGACGCCCAGCCGGCTCAATCCCACCAAGGAACCAGCCAGCCCATTCACTCGGGGATCTCTACCTCAATGTAGAGACCTTCGAGTTTGACACTCTGATGGGGGAGAATGGGCGTACCTCCCAAGCCGGTCAGGCGGGCCAGCCCAACGTGGAGGGCGAAGGCGAAGAAGAGGCTGCTGAAGAGTCCCTTCAGCGGAAGAGGCGGAGGACTGAAGAGGTCAACCAGCCGGCTCACCAAGGGCCCCAGTCCTCCGACGCTGGCAAAGGACCCATAGTGCCCCGGTCTCCAATTCTGATGAGCCGGTCGAACGAGGAGCTTTTTCAAGCTTTTCGTTCCGACCTGTCTGAGGTAATCCCCCTTTCCTTACTGTTTTTGTTTTGTTGTTTTTTTTTGTTGTCTGAAAAACCTTCCATGTCTTTAAAGCAGGTCGGCCGGATCGGGGAGGAGTACTTTGCCCGGCTGGTGAAGTCGGCGGATGAGGAGAAGGCCCGGATGGAGGCCATAATGGTCCAATGCCGGAAAAATGCCCAGGCCGCCCGTGAATTCGCGGAGAAGACGGATGCGAAGTGGCTGGAGCACTGCGCGGTCTACCGTCAGCTCTACGCCAAACACGACGCCCTTCTCAAGGCCGCGAAAGAGGCCGATGAGCAGGCCCAGGCCAAGATCCAACAGCTGGAGGCCGACAATGCCCGGTCGGCTGAGGAGATCGCTCGTCTGAGCGATGAGCTGGAGAGAGAGCAATCGGAGCGGGCTGCCGTTGCCGCTGCCTGGGCTGTCCAAGCGCCTGAGGAGTTCTCTGCTAAGGCACTTCCTGACCGGGAGACAGCAATCCGCTTCTTCCAAGGTCTGTATAAGCACCCAATTTCGGCCGGCATTGTGGACGAGATTGGGACTTATGGCTACGAATGTGGCCAGTGCTCTGAGCGGAAGGCCCTCTACGGCATCCTTGAGCAGCGGATTCAGGGCTTTCGGCCGAAAGCTCTATCTCTGCCCGAGCTCCACAACGAGGCGCCTGAACCTCCTTTCCCGGGCATCTGATCCATCCGGCCTTCTTCTTTCTTTTTTTTTTATAATGTAATGATCGGCCTCCGGGCACTTTTGTAAGATTGAAATATTAATGAAAATATTTGCTACATAATGTGCTGAGTGCTTTGTTTATTTTTTGACTCATTCTTTTTTATCTTGGATTCTTCAACCGTTTAGATTAGTAGATAACAGCCCGGCTGTAACTACCCGGCCTTAGAACATAATCTGACCCAAACCCTTCCGAAGGACTGGACATCCAGCCGGGAAGACTAAGTCTCACTTACTTCCTCCCGGTTTGGTCTTTACCTTCCGTGGCGTACTGACTTATCCTTTGCGAAAGGATAAGCACTTGCCCGGGTTCTCGCCAGGCCGATCTGTTTACACAATGGCCTAACGCCCCGTATAGATAGGCAAACCTTAAATTTTTCTTCCAAACATCTGGCTTAAACTGGCCGGGATGCTCTCCCACTAGCAAAACCAAATTGTTTGTCTCCCGTGTCAGTACGGATGAGGCCTCAGACCGGTCAGACCGATTCTTTTTTTTTTTATTGGCGATGTCCAATTCGATTGGACACCTAACCGGGTAGGTCGGTACGCGACGGATGACCGGTTAATATATATATTCGAGAACAATTCTTCTGAAAAGAACGAACTTTTATTAATGGCTGGGAACTCATTACACTTTATCTATAAAATTTACGTAAGTGGTGAGAGTTCCAATGTCGCTCGACCCGGCCACCTTCCATTGTTTCCAACTGGTAAGTGCCCGGTCTGACAACTGCTTTTATGCGATAAGGCCCTTCCCAGTTTCGTACCAGTTTGCCCCTCTCATTAGGCTTACTAGCATCCCTTCTACGCAAAACTTCATCATTTACTTGGAAGTACCGCGGCCCTACCCGGTTATCATGATACCGATTCACTGACTGCTGGTAGCCGGCCATCTTGACAGCTGCTATGGTCCTTCGTTCTTCTACCAGATTTAGCTCAGCTAGGTGTTCAGTCTCATTCAGACCGGGCTGATAGACGGTTTCTCTGAATGTTGGAATTTCTGCCTCTACCGGTAACCGAGCTTCGCATCCGTAGGTTAGCACAAAAGGAGTCTCTCCAGTTGCTCTTCTTGAAGTCACTCTGTGTGCCCAGACCGTGTGAGGCAAGGCTTCCAACCACTTGTGTCCTTCCTCACCCAGCCTCTTTTTTAGGCCGTCCACAATTGTCCGGTTAGCGTTTTCGACTTGGCCATTCCCCTGTGGATAGGCTACCGAGGCCTTGCTATGTTTGATCCCAAAGTTAGCAAGGTACGCGGTGAACCGGGGATTGCGAAACTGTGGGCCATTGTCGGTGACAATGATTTTTGGGGAGCCAAACCGGGTGATAATGTTCTTCCAAACAAATTTCTCACATTGTCGTACAGTTATGGTGGTCATTGCTTCAGCCTCAATCCATTTGGTGAAGTAATCAATAGCCACCATCACGAACTTCTTTCCGCCCTGGGCAACCGGGAAGGCTCCAATAATATCGATCCCCCACCGGGCAAACGGTATGACATTTGAGGTGGGTTGGTAATAAGTGGCCGGTCTGCCGGGATGTTTGTAAAAAACTTGGCATGTTCTGCATTTCTGGACATACCTCTCACAATCCCCAACAATGGTCGGCCAGTAGTAGCCTAGAAGGATTATCCTTTGAGCCAAAGTGCGGGACATTTGATGGGCTGCACAGACTCCCTCATGTACCTCGGCGATTACCCGCTCAGCCTCCGGATTGGTGAGGCAACGCAAGAGTGGTCCGCCAATTGCTCGTTTGTATAAGTGGCCGTCGATCACCTGGAAACGTGGAGCCCGTAGGACTACCTTCCTGGCTCGTTCCTCATCCTTAGGCTTCTGACCGGTCTCCAAATACTCCATGAGCTCGTACCTCTAATCATCGTCTGCCCCGATTATCCCGGATGATGAAATCTGGCCCGGTTGGATGGCCGTAACCTCAAACCGGTCTGTACTTGGCACGTCTAATATCTCAATTTTCGCCAATTGGGACACATGCTCCGGGCAAGCTTGCGTTAATTTCGAAAGCATGTCTGCATCAGCATTCTCAGACCGGGGTATCCTAGTCAGACGAAACTCCTCTAATTCTCTTAGAAGCGCTCGGACCAAGTTACCGTATCGGGCCAGGCGACCCTCTTTCACTTCCATCTCACCATTGACTTGTCCAACCACTAGGCTTGAGTCGAAACGGATCTTCATCCTTTTTATTCCCAGCGCCCGGGCTATTTTGAGACCACCGGCTAAAGCTTCATACTCCGCCTCATTGTTGGTGGGTCTGAAGTTGAAGATCAGGGCATGGTAGATCTTGAATCCCTCCGGGGTAGTGAAGACCACGCCGGCTCCGCATCCTCTCGGTCCAGAGGCCCCATCAACGGCCATATCCCACCACGGTTCGACCGTGTGGGAAGGTCCGGCTTCAGGCTCCAGCCCGGTCAGTTCAACGAGGAAGTCAGCCAAAGCTTGTCCTTTAATGGCAGTCCTCGGTTTATATTCTATCTTGAACTGGGTGAGCATCATTGCCCACTTGATTAATCTTCCCGAGGAAGTCGAATTCCGGAGGACCGGTCCAAGCGGCTGATCGGTCAATACTTCCATGGTATGAGCTTGGAAGTATGCGGTTAATTTTTTGGCCGTTATAAAAAGTGCGTATGCCGTTTTTTCAATGGCAGTGTACCGGCTTTCAGCCCCATTTAGTGCTTTACTCACATAGTAAATAGGCCTCTGGCCGTCTTCATTTCTTATCAAAACGGAACTTACAGCATTCTAGGAGATTCCCAGATACAAGTACAAAGTCTCACCCGGTTTGGGTTTTGACAACACAATATCAGAGACTAAGTACTCCTTCAGCTGCTGGAAAGCTTCCTCACACTCCCGGTCCCACTCGAACGTGTTGGCCTTCTTTAGCACCTTGAAGAAGGGCAGAGCCCTCTCGGCAGATCGGGAGAGGAAACGACTCAAGGCTGCCAACCGACCGGTGAGTCGTTGTACGTCTTTCAACGAACTGGGCGACCTCATTTCGGTTATGGCCTTGATCTTCTCCGGATTAGGCTCAATTCCACGCTTGGTCACCATGAACCCCAGAAACTTACCGGTCTTTACAGCAAAGACGCATTTCTTGGGGTTGAGACGCAAGTTGTACTTAGCCATAATCT